GCCAATGTTGTACATCATCATGACTTAAAATATTCCCTCTGGTATGCAAAGAGGAAGATTTTTTGTTTCAGTATTCTGTGAGAGGACCTCTGTCAAAAATGGATGGGTATACTTGACACTAGTTCAGAGATTCTTCTAACAAGTAAGTGACATATAATTTCAATGACATATAAATTCAATTTGAATACAAATTCATAGAGGCATTGTTTCAAAATAAGCCAATATCACTTTTTAATATATCTCCAATAGGCAACCTAGAAAAATGATACTGATGAACCTATTTTCAGGGCAGGAAGAGAGATGCAGACTTAGAGATGCACACTTAGAGAACAGACTCGTGGGCATATCAGGGCAATGAGAAGGTGGGATGGATTGAGAGAGTAGCACTGAAATATATAAATTATTATATTTATATATACTGCCCAGTCTCCTCCACAGAAGTCTTCTCTCTGCCTAGTAAGACTCTGAAAGAGTAATGAATAAATGGTGATTTCATGATACAGAGGACAATCAGAGAAGGGAAGCATAAATAATCAGTATTGAGTTTTATGATCATATTGTGATTCTCAAGTCAGGCTGTTTTCTAGGGCATCAATGGACCAGATGGACAGGGATTTTAAACAATTTTTATTTGGACCTTTGGGGGGATAAATAATATTGGGACAGACCATTAACTGGAACAAAGTGTCCACTAATTGAAGATGCACGGTATTACTGATGCTGCTTTGTCTACGAACTCATGTTTGTGTCATATTCTTTTGTGAATATGAGACAAGGTGTTAACCTCTCTCTGGAAAAAATAAATTTGGGCCTGTGATCATATAAATACCACAAATAGAAGTATCTACCAATATCAGAAAGATATGAATAATGCACAGCCTCTAACAGCATGCTCCAAGGCCAATAATTCATGTAAATAAAGGCTGAATGCTTTAGATGCCCGTTTTATGGTTATCAGTGTCCCAGTTGTCTTACATGGTCAAGTAATACATCACAAAATACATCCTCTACTACAAGATTTATACCTGATTCACAGTTATTTAAACCTGATCTTGGGAATATTGTTGCCTTGATTTTTGTTGCCAGAAGGCCCTGTAAATTTAATATAAGACTCTATAAACTTGTTTTAGTATACTTTGTAATCAGAATAGTACTAGAACAATGACAAAAGATGATTATATTTTAAGGAGTAGTGTGGAAAATTTGATTAAAAGGCACTTAACTAAGATCCTATATTGTACAATGTTTTTAATTACTTCAGAGAGTATATCCTGAAAACACATAGTTTGCAAGATTTTTTTTTTGCAAAATAGAAACTAAAATAAGCACATCCATTATTGCAATATAAACAACTTTATGTTATAAAATCATGTTACAAAAATCCTGTAATTAGAAGTCCATTTTTTTGACACTTCATTCCTAAAATTCACAGAAGACTGCAAGATGAGATTATGACTAATATAGACAGCATATTAAAAAGCAGAGATATTACTTTGCCAACAAAGGTCCATTTAGTCAAAGCTATGGCTTTTCCAGTAGTCACGTAGGGATGTGAGAATTGGACCACAAAGAAAGTTGAGCACTGAAGAATGGAAGCTTTTGAACTGTGGCATTGGAGAAGACTCTTGAGAGTCCCTTGGACATCAAGGAGATCCAACCAGTCCATCCTAAAGGAAATCAGTCCTGAATATTCATTGGAAAGACTGATGCTGATGCTGAAACTCCATTTGGCCACCTGATACAAAGAACTGACTCATTTGAAAACACCCTGATGCTGGGAAAGATTGAAGGCAGGAGGAGAAGGGGAGACAGAGGATGAGATGGTTGGATGGCATCAACAACTCAATGGACATGAGTTTGAGTAAACTCCGGGATTTGTTGATGGACAGAGAGGCCTGGCGTGCTTCAGTCCATGGGGTCGCAAAAAGCTGGATATGACTGAGCAACTGACCTCAACTCAACTCAACACCTATTTATTGTGAATACTTGGCTTTGACATTATTTCCATTATTGAGATCCCTTTATTCCACTTACTACTCTCTAAGAGCTTCCATTGAATCTTAATTCTTATTAAACATTCACTTTAATAAATATTTCTTGATTTGAGAACTATAACATCTCTTTTATAGAATGTAGTCCTTTGTTCAATAGTCAAAAAGTATCCCTGAAGTGTTCTTGAGAGCACAGAAAATATTTTTTGAAAACATTAAAAAGTAACTGATTAAGACAGTTAAGATTGTTTGGAATATGTATAGACAGAAATGGGTTTACTTCTGCAGAGTGGATAAGGAACTTTAATGTCATACTGAAACTGTGTGTGCTGCTTGCTCAGTCATGCCAAACTCTTTGTGACCCCATGGACTGCAGCCTGTCAGGTTCCTCTATCCATGAGATTTTCCAGGAAAGAATACTGGAGGGGTTGCCATTTCCTTCTCTAGGGGATTTTCCCAACCCAGGGATTGAAACCACATCAAACTGAAACTACTGATTCAATATTTAATGAGGAAAAAGACTAAAACTTGATTATGCTGCATATATTTAAAAATCTGAATTTATTAAATACACATATCTCAATGTAAAAAAAGAAATGTTATGCCTAGAAATGGGTAGATTTATGGGATTGATTACATACAAACTCAAACTATACATAGTCAGAGGAATGGAAAAAAAATCATGGACTAGTGTAGTAAGAGTTTCATATCATTTTACATCCAGTGCCTACCCTATTCTCATGTGCCAATATTTTATAATCAGTACAGTTCAGTCACTCAATCATGTCTGACTCTTTGTGACCCCATGGACTGCAGCACACCAGGCTTCTCCATCCATCAGCAACTCCTAGAGCTTGCTCAAACTCATGTCCATTGATTCGGTGATGCCATCCAACCATCTCATCCTCTGTTGTAACCTTCTCCTCCTGCCTTCAATCTTACCCAGCATCAGGGTCTTTTCCAATGAGTCAGTTCTTCACATCAGGTGGTCAAAGTATTGGAGTTTCAGCTTCAGCATCAGTCCTTCCAATGAGTATTCAGGACTGATTTCCTTTAGATCAGGTTGGTTTGATCTCCTGGCTGTCCAAGTGACTCTTAAGAGTCTTCTCCAACACCAAAGTTCAAAAGCACCAATTCTTAAGCACTCAGCTTTCTCTATAGTCTAACTCTCATATCCATACAAAACTACTGGAAAAGCCATAGTTTTGACTAGCTGGACCTTTGTTGGCAAAGTAATATATCTGCATTTTAGTATGCTGTCTAGTTTGGTTATAGCTTTTATTTCATATTTTTATAGTATATTATAACACCTCCCTTTTATTCTTTTAAATGAATAAGGGAAAGGATAATCTTATTGCAATGATTAAAATTTCAAGGCTCTCTTTCTTTATATTTTAAGATCCTTGCCCATGTTCACAGAGTGCAAAGAGATTTGTTCCCCTGTGTGGCATTTGAAAGTGAATAACTTTATCAGACATTTTCTAGAGTTGTTTGCAATTTGAAGGAAGACGATGTGCATTACAAGTTTGTTGAAGAGAAATGAATTTGTCAAGAGAGAAGAAGATGTAAAAAGACAAAAATTTATCTACTCTTCCTGTTATTGTCTGTTTTATATATTTAAAACAATGTGTTAAAGGTGTGGGTGGGATTCAGAAAGGAAGGACTGCAATAGGATAAATAATCTTGTAGGTTTCACTTCAATGCATAATATTTCAGTTCATTTTTTTTTAAGGGTCCCTTATAACATCATCTTCACACACAAAAAAAAAATCTAAAGTTTTGATCATGGCTTGCCCCATGATAATATATCTTCCTACATTTGAAAAAGGAATCTTAGTTGAAAAATGACATTTCAAAGTTTAATAATAATCAACTCTGCAGGACCAAATAGAATTGAATGAAGATGTCAAACACTAATTAGCTACTATGTCTCTTCTAGAAAATCTCATCTCTCCATTTTCTGTTTCTCTGTTCTGTTCTGTGAATGGAGGCTTTTCCAAGATCAGAATAATTTAGTAAACTCTACTGGGAACATAAACATGGTCTGATCCTACACCAGATTTCTGGTGACACAGATTCCTAAAAATAAATAAATAAATAAAATAAACCTAGATCTAGGATGTTTAAACTAAAAACTCTAATTGTGAGAACAGGAACTACTGAATAACATTTCAGTATTTTTTAACTAGAAATGTAATTTCAGAGGCACTTAGTCTTCTAAGGAATTCTGTTCAGGAATGGGGAATGAAAAATAGAAATGAGGAAGTCCTGAGGATACTTTTATTACCAAATATGAAAAAGACATTCATTTCTGTTCATTAGTATCTGTCAATTACTAATTATGAGAAAAACCTTAAAGTTTACAACACATTATTTAAATTCTATAAGTGTTTCCTATCTGTCTTTTCAAGGTGTAATCAAGGGAGCAAGTATGCCGTGAAGAGACAGATCATTGCACAGGTATAAATAATACAAATTTCTAATATGTGTATAAACCTATATGGTATATAAATATATGTATAAAATTAAGACATTACTTATGGGGTAAAAAGTGCTGTACAACCTTGTATTTATATCACAAATCCCCAAGAGATGTCAAATGTTTCCTAAATGCAGAGTAACATATCAGCAAAACAAGGGACATGCATTTCATTGAATATAAAAATGTTAATAAAATACAGCATAACAATATCTTGAGGAACATATTTATAACACTGACAAACTTCATCAGAGTCATACCCCTGCTAACAAGTGGTTTTATTTGAAGATTCTTTTTTGGAAAGAATCATATTCATCAGCTTATTGAAACTCATAGTGGGTGAAGTGGTCATTACAAATAAAGAAACAAAGTGGTTAAAGTAAATTATTAAGAAATATTAATAATATTAGAATGTTTCTGGTGAAAAACACTTTTCCTCAAATATTCTATAACATTAGATAACACCATGAATTAGTTTGTTTTTTTTTTTTTTACAAATACACTCATCCTTTCTCTTCACTTGTGAAATCATGCAACTGAACAATAATGTGGCTGAGTTTATTCTGCTTGGGTTAACCCAGGATCCCATTAGGAAGAAAGTAGTGTTTGTCACATTCTTGCTTTTATATTTGGGGACATTACTGGGTAACATGCTGATTATTATTACCATCAAGACCAGTCCAGCACTTGGGAGCCCAGTGTATTTCTTTGTTTTCCATTTATCTTTATCTGATACCTGTTTCTCTACATGCATAGCCCCTAGGATGATTGCAGATGTCCTTTTGAAGAATGCTACTATCTCTTTCAACGAGTGCATGACCCAAGTTTTTACATCTCATTTCTTTGGCTGTCTGGAAATCTTCATCCTCGTCCTCATGGCTGTTGACTGCTATGTGGCCAACTGTAAGGCTCTACACTACAGGACCATGATGAGTCATCAAGTTTGTGGTGTGTTGGTGGCTGTGGCCTGGGTGGGGTCCATTGTGCATTCTTCAGCTAAGGTTTTTCTGGCCCTGAGTTTACCTTTCTGTGGTCCCAATGTGATTGATCCCTATTTTTGTGACTTGAAACCTTTGTTGAAACTTGCCTGTACAGACACTTATGTGACCAACCTACTCTTGGTGTCCAACAGCGGGGCCATCTGTACAGTGAGTTCTGTCATGCTGATGTCTTCTTATATTGTTGTCTTACATTATCTGAGAAACCACAACACTGAAGGGAGGAAAAAAGCCCTCTCCACCTGTGCCTCCCACATCATTATGGCCATTTTGTTCTTTGGTCCTTGCATATTTATGTACACACGTCCTGCAACCACCTTCTCCAAGGATAAAATGATAGCTGTATTTTATACAATTGGAACACCTTTGTTCAACCCTCTAATTTATATACTGAGGAATGCAGAAGTAAAAAATGCCATAAAGATGTTATGGAGCAAGAAGTTGATTTCAGATGACAAAAGATAAATGGATGTTTCAATTTTTCTTCATAATCCAGATTAATTTATTAAAAATCCTTACAGGATATAATGTTCTTCATGTGGTATTGATACAATCTTGTCCTTCAACATGCAGTTAGTTGTGTTAGGAAATAGGTAATATGAACACATACAGTGTTCAATTTCAGTTGGGAAAGACACAGGACCAGGTAAACACTGGTTTGTTAGGTCCATTGGTTTTCTATACCTTGTCTCTGCCTCGCTTGCATGACTAGTGTTACTCCGGTTGTGATCTAGTATTTCCCCTGCCCCTTCTCGGGCTGATTTCTGGTATTCTCTGCAATGAGACACCCATCTACATGTTTATATTACAAACTTGCCGATTTCATTTCTTCTAAACTGCTCCCTTTATTAGACATGTTAGTTTTATTATGTTTGACCACAGGCATAGTTCTAGTAGTACTTTCTGGTAACAGCATGTATCAGAATCAAATAATTGTAAAACATTTGTCAAGGAGGATATATAATGTATGTTAAATTCAATGTATTTCTTTACTATTTACTCCAAGTTCTCACACTTGTTTACATACAAATGTATGTAAACATACATACCCTTCCAGGCAGTGACATAAACTTAAATACATACCTTAAAACTTAAATACAACCTACATAAACTTATATACATACCCTTTCAGATATTGACATAACAGTGAGAAAATTCAGGTTCCTGAAGTAAGTCTTTGAGCTTAAAATTTTTCACTTTGGGGTTGGTGGTCAGAGCATTCTTTCTGTAAAATATACTTTATACTCCTAATTAGATTTCTTCTAATTTGTGGGTTGGTGTTAAGGTTTCTTGAATCATGCCAGTTCCAGTAATGTGTTCATAATATTAGATTATTGTCAGAGCATAGATGGTTCAAATTAAGAAAAATACACTTATGTGAATAAATGTTAAGATGGAAAACTATTGATGTTAATCATCTTTTAATATTAATAGAGTTAAACAAATAATTACATAATACAAAAAGGAGGAGTTTAAGATTTTGAAACAGCAATATTTATATGACAGATATGAATTATGAGCTTCTCTCTGATAAAGGCTAAACTGTGGAAATAGTAAAAAATAATCAGTCATTGCAAATAATTTAAGTAAGGGAAATAAAGGGACACTTAACTTGACCACAGGGATATTTTAAGAGGGGACTGTCTTTCTCCCAATCTGACGGCTGTTCCAATCTAAGCAAGGTGAAAAGACAGCCCTCAGATTGGGAGAAAATAATAGCAAATGAAGCAACAGACAAAAGATTAATCTCAAAAATATACAAGCAACTCCTCCAGCTCAACTCCAGAAAAATAAATGACCCAATCAAAAAACGGGCCTAAGAACTAAACAGACATTTCTCCAAAGAAGACATACAGATGGCTAACAAACACATGAAAAGATGCTCAACACCACTCATTCTCAGAGAAATGCAAATCAAACCACAATGCGGTACCATTACACGCCAGTCAGGATGGCTGCTATCCATAAGTCTACAAGCAATAAATGCTGGAGAGGGTGTGGAGAAGAGGGAACCCTCTTACACTGTTGGTGAGAATGCAAACTATTACAGCCGCTATGGAGAACAGTGTGCAGATTTCTTAAAAAACTGGAATAGAACTGCTATATGACCAAGCAACACCACTTCTGGGCATACACACCGAGGAAACCAGATCTGAAAGAGACACATGCACCCCAATGATCATCGCAGCACTGTCTATAATAGCCAGGACATGGAAGCAACCTAGATGCCCATCAGCAGATGAGTGGATAAGGAAGTTGTGGTACATATACACCATGGAATATTACTCAGCCATTAAAAAGAATTCATTTGAATCAGTTCTAATGAGATGGATGAAACTGGAGCCCATTATACAGAGTGAAGTAAGCCAGAAAGATATAGAACAATACAGTACACTAACACATATATGTGGAATTTAGAAAGATGGTAATGATAACCCTATATGTAAAACAGAAAAAGAGACACAGATGTACAGAACAGAATTTTGGACTCTATGGGAGAAGGCGAGGGTGAGATGTTTCAAGAGAACAGCATCAAAACGTGTATATTATCTAGGGTGAAACAGATCACCAGCCCAGGTTGGATGCATGAGACAAGTGCTCGGGGCTGGTGCACTGGGAAGACCCAGAGGGATCGGGTGGAGAGGGAGGGGGGAGGGGGGATCGGGATGGGGAATGCATGTAAATCCATGGCTGATTCATGTCAATGTATGGCAAAAACTACTAAAATATTGTAGAGTAATTAGTCTCCAACTAATAAAAATAAATGTAAAAAAATAATAAGAGGGGAAAACTTTTTTTTTTAATATTCTAATGGTAGATGCATGGCCTAACTGCTATATCAACATCCATAAAACAACCATATAACACAAACTGTAAACTCTAATGTAAACTATGGAATTCAGTAAACTTTGATTAATATTAACTCCTCACTTGTATGTAGCAGAATAACATAAACTCATTAAATAGTAAACCTGTAAAAACAACAAAGGGTGTCTATGGGAACTCCATATACTTCTATGTAAATTGTAAATCCATGGCTGATTCATGTCAATGTATGGCAAAAACCACTACAATATTTTAAAGTAATTAGCCTCCAACTAATAAAAATAAATGGAAAAAAAAACTTAAAAATATTCTGAAGCATAGAGTCTATCAAAAAAGTTATATCCACAAAAAAGTGTTCAATTTTACAGTATCATATCAAAAAATACGCCATTTGAATTTTTATACAAATTTAAAATATAAGCACATCTGTTACTAAGCCATATATTTATAACCGCAGATGTTTTACAGCTTACCCTAGTATGCTATACAAAGATCATCAAAGGATATATTTATTAACTATGTGCAAATATTTTAGTAACTTGATTATTACTAGAGCATTATAATTTGAAATGAAATTTGTAATGTGAATGGACATTAATTTGAATGTTGTTACATTAAGAAAAAATTTCATTAAAATATTTGAGTTTTATTCCATATGATATTCTTCAATATTTTAACATTTATATATCCAAAAAGTGCTCTTCTCTTTTTGTTTCCTTTTTTACTTTTTTAAATGTACCATCTGCATGAAACTTTTAGTGTTTATAAGCACAGAAAGGGATATAATTTTGTAGTAATGGTTTAAGTAGTTTTTTGTTATTAATCTCTAATAATAACAGAGAAATTTGGATTTTACTACCAATATATTTTTGATAGATTTAGCTTAGGTTCTGAGAGAAAGCAGTAAAACATATACTTTCAAAGCCTCAGGTAGGATTTTCTAGGTTAAAAATGGCTGAATAGGTTAGCATCAAAAATTGATTTTAAATATACCAAAAAAAATGTATACAAAGCAAAGATGAACAGGATCATATTGCCCACCTTCTTTTTGCTGTGCCCTATTCTAAGAGTTGACAGTATTATAGTAAAGTAAATAAGCAATATCCATTGTAGCAGAGCGTTCATTCTGCTGTGCAGTGAAGATGCACAGTAAAAACTGGGCAAATACTGATGATGCCAGGAGTTAAGGATGATGTCATGAACCACAGAGCAAGGTAATTAAGAGTGTGATGGTGGTAAACCTGAGGTGTGCACTGTTTAGAACAGGATGGCCAGGAAAGACCCAAATGACTTTTCAACTAAATAAAAAATAAAGGTTCTCACTATGGAAAATGTTGCTTCTCAGGAGACACTGGTAAATTCTAGATTAACTGCTGGTTGCCCTAGAAATGGGGGTGTTTAGTGGTCACGGCTACAGCATCTGGCAGATAGACTTTCAGGATGCTGTGGAACAACTCATAATGTGCCAGGCAGGAGATCACTACAAAGAAATATCGTGTGTGTGTGTGCTCAGTCATGTTCTGCAACACCACGGACTGTAACCCTCTGTTACAGCCCATGTTACTGCAGCCCTCTATGGACTGTAGCCTCGTGGACTGAGGCTCCTCTATTCATGAAATTTTCTGGGCAAGAATACTGGAGCAAGTTGCCATTTCCTATCCCAGAGTATCTTCCTGATCCAGGGACTGAACCCATGTCTCTTGCATCTCCTGCATTGGGAAGCAGATTCTTTACCACTGAGCCACCTGGGAAGTCCCACAAAAAAACTATCTGACTCAAAATTTCAGTGGTGCTAAGGCTGATAAATTCTGACCAATATGAAAAAATCTTGATTATTTGGGCAGAATAAAAAATCTAGGTAGTTAATAGATGAACAACAAGTGCAAACTGAGTATACTTCTATCATAATAAAACAAACAAACAAAAAATCAAGAAGCTAGGTAGTCAGAGAAGGGAATAAAAGTGAATAATTGGAAATGAGACCAGAAATATAAGAGAACTTCAGTATAAAGTGTTTATGGGATTTTTCTGGAGAGAAATGGGAAAGCATTTGATATCTATCTGACATGATTTGAATTGTGATTTAATAGGATTATTTTGACTGCTTTATTGAGCATCTGGAGTAAATTCTGAGGATATTATAACAACTAGAAAAGAGGTTACAGTAATTTGGACCAGGTCAGTAGCATGTTTATGGAGAGAAATATTCTGCTTATGGATACAGTTTTCACTGTTGATTGGAATATAAAATTACACATCCAAACAGATAAATTTCCAATTCTTCATTTTAAAACTAAACATGCATTTAGTGTATTCTCAACTATTCCATTCTTAACACTTAAGGTTAAAAAAAAAAATTGTGTTCACAAAGACTCAAGCTGTAATGTTCATAGTAGCTTTGTAAGTAATAGTCATGAGCTTAAAGTAAATAAAGTGCGCATGAATAACAAAAAGGAAAATTTGTTTTTTATGACTACAATGACATATTTATCAGAAGTAAAAAGGAATAAATTATTCACTTACACATGAGCAATGATCATTCCAAAACTATCTATTTGAATGAAAGACACCTTATGCAAAACAGTATGCTCTTTGTAGTTTCATTTATATGAAGTTTTGCAACAGGCAATAGTAATTAG